CTTATTGTTTCAGAGAAATCTCATCTGCATATGTGTTACCTTTACTTGCTCAGACATGTGGCAGACATCCGTCAGGGCCACAGGCCATGGTGGGTGCAGTCTAGGCGGTTATTAGACAGGAGTGAGTGAAAGTGACCTCAAACATCAGTGCTTTCTCTCACACTCGGAGCCCACCCTTGCCATTTTCCCGAGCAGTCAGGGAATTCTAAATAACCATGAGTAAGAGGCATATTTTACTTTCTCCATCCTTCTGTGACCTCTCCGGGGAAGAGCGCCCAAATCCCCGTATTTGGTCTGTTCAGCACAACCCACCTTCAGTCATGAGCCTGTGGCTCTGGGCTCGGCATTCATTTTGTCTTGTCCAGAAGGGTAGCGTCTTATTCTTCTGATTATCTCATTCTTTCCAATGTGTGTTTCTTGTAGTAGTAATTTTTTTTTTTTAATTGGGGCATGCCCTGTATTGCTGACTAAGCCAAGATTGGAAACCTGCTTTCTTATCGGTCAGTATAAAACGTAGCAGTTTTAATCAAGTGAGCAAAGACTTCCTGCAAAAGAATGCTGTGAGTGAGGAATGTAAGCTCCTTGAGGGAACGCACTCCTTGCTCCACACCCAGTCCTCTCAGCATCTCGCCCAGAGCCTTGTCGCAGGGGTGGTGCTCAAGGGAATCCCGCTGCCTTGATTTCTATGGCTTCCTTTATTGTTTGACTGGAAACAAAGGGCGCTTTTTTCATTCCTTCAGCCAGTGTCATGCTTAGCATAGTGAACAAAACAAAGCCACTGCCCCCGTGGAACTTTCATCCTGGCAAGAGAGACAAATGAGCATGATTACAAGGTGCCATGGCTGTTTTGAAGGTAATAAACTTGGGGCTGAGATAGAGAATAATGGAAAGTAGACGACCTTTCTAGATTAAATGGCCAGAGAATGGGACTTCTGAGCTAAGGCCTAAGGGACAAGGATGAAGTTGGGGGGACGAGGGGACAGGGGAGGTGAGCCATCAAGGCAGAAAGGTCATTTCCCTTAAGGCCAGAAGAAGTGTGGCCTGTCTGAGGATCTAAAATAAAGTGTGGCTAGAGGGTCCTGAGCAAAGGGTTGGGGGCGGGCAGTAGGTGATGAAGTCAGAGAGGCCAGTGGGGCCAGAGATGTGGGCCTTTGTAGCCCTGGTGAGTTGTTGGGTTTTGTTCTACGTGTAGTCGGAAACAAGGGTAAAGTGATCTAACCCATTTCTCTATGTTTAATTATGTTTGTTGCTATGAAATGATGGTGGCCTGATTTGAGGGGTTGGAGAAAAACGTGGTTGGATTTGAGCTGTACCAGTATTTCAGAGATTAGAGTGAAGGATTGGACATGGGCAGGGGGTTGGTGAGGGAAAGGGAAGAATCGGGGATGACTTGAGCACCCTGAGGTGGGGAAGACTGGGCAGTAGGGAGGAGGTTGGCAGTGAGGAAGGGGGAGGACTTCAGAGCTTTGTTGTAGATGTGATAAGCGGCCAACTTACACAAGATCATTGGGGACTGAGATGTCCAGTGGGATCTGATCTAGACATGTGAGCCTGGGGTTCAGAGGAGAATTTGGGTCTAGAGATGTAAATGTGAGAGTCACAGTACAGAGAGGGCTCTAAACCGTGGGGGACAGATGACATACTAAATGGTGGCATTTCCATTAATTCGTGACAACAGCTCAAGCTACCCACATGGCCAATTTGAGAATTTGCTGTAGCAAAATTGTAGGTTATTTTACTGCAAGAAAAACACTTGAAATGTATTTATGCTACCAATGACCAGGAAGGTGAAATGCTATACTTGGCGCCATAAAACCATTCTCTCAGCTTGTTTTCAGAAAAATCCATATCTGGATGTGTGACCGAGTCATTAGTAGTGACTGGCTGGCTGTGTTCTAATAGGTCAGGTGTAACTTAAGCCCCAAAGGCCTCTGGGCAAGTCATTTGGTCTGAAGGTGGCTGAGATAAAGCAGAGGAGGTCATTGTTGCCCCCAATTAGCATCAAGGGAAAAAAGCTGCATAATCGGAAACCTAGAAGAAGCTTCCCACCAGAGGCCGGCCAATTATTTTCTGAGAACTTTGCTACTGGGAAAACAAGAAGGAAGATGGGAATCACGCTTACCAAACATGAGGATTTATCAGACACGCCTGCACAGCTTCCTTAGCATGCAGTCCTGTGCCTCACCTCCTGTGTGATCAAAGAGCTCTGGCTTGGGGCTCGGGAGTCTGTATTCTTACCAAGTGATTCTGGTGCAGGTGATCCATGGATCACACTTTGAGAGACGTTGAGTCTAAAAAGAGCTTTGAGGTCATCTAGGCAGCCCTTCTCACCCAGGGGGAGGCAGCTGTACGGAGGAGAGGGGCTGCCTTGAGTCAAAGAACGAGTTGGAAAGCCAGTGCAGCTCTACTAACCCACATTTCTTCATTCTGCAGTTGATTCTTCATCCTAACGGTGGATAAAAAGCAAGTCTCCCCTCCCAGTTCCCAACTCCCCTTCCTTCACTGTATTTTTTTTTCCAAAGTCCCTATCACCTTCTAATGTAAGAGGAATTTACTGTGTTTTATTTGTCTGTCTTTCCTCACTAAAATGTTAGCTTCAAAAGGGCACCGATTTTGTTTTGTTTTTCACTGAAAAAGAAAACACTCCAGCCTTCTTTTCAGGGGTGGGGTATGAGGGAGTGTGAAGGGCGACAGTGGCCTCCTCAGAAGGGGTTCAGTGACCTGTCACCACAGGATTCTCTCTCCGTCTATCCTATGTGCCTGGACAGTGCCTGGCTCATAGTAGGTGTTCAGTGAATATTTGTTAAATGGGTGGATGGATGAAAAATATTTCGTTAAACTATAATTATAAGTTTAATGGGCATTGCGGGAAGGTGCCAACCCTTAGACATGTTAGCTCAAAATAGTGTAGAATATTTTCTTTTTTACTGGTTTGATGTTGGCTTAGATCAGAGGTTACAGAAGCACTTTGTTTATGGAGATTAATAGAGTCTTTTAATAATATTAATAATAATAATAATAATAGCAAAGGTAATAGAAATAACAGTGATAACTGCTGTCATTTTTGGAATGCTTACCATCTGCTACGTATGTACTGTATGAAGTTCTGAGAACATCGTACCCTTAACTCATCCAGTCCTCATTACAGCCCAAGGATGGAGGAACTGGTTTTGTCTGTTTTCCAGAGGAGGAAACTGAGGCTCAAAGAGGTGAAGTTATTTGTCCAGGGTTACACAGCCTGTAGAGATTTAGGATCTGTGGTCCTGAAGGGGAAGTCCCTAACTACCAGTCACATTCAGTATCAACAGTTCAAGCTGGGGTGTTCTCTGCAGAAGGAATTAGAAAAGCTAAAGACTAAGCAAGCATCACTTTTTGGGGTGTCCCTGGGCCAAGAGCACCAACCTCCTAGATGGTATAAAACTACAGCCTGGAAAGGAAGTTGCATTTTTTTTCCATCATTTCCCCACACTCTCAGGTCTTTCCATTCTCACATTACAAAGGACCTTTGGTCTTGAACTGTTAGGCTTTTCTCACTTCTCAGACAACCTCCCTGTAGTGGGGCCAAGGGAAATTCCTGTGGTGACAGGTCACTAAACCATTTCTGGGGAGGCCACTGTAGCACTCCACACTCACTCACACCCCACCCCCTAAAGGAAGGGGGACAGAAAGGCTCCTTCACCCTCCTTCCTGTACCACTTCCCTGTTGGGGCCTCAGGAAGGGGCCGAGGGAGGTGATGATTCTATAAATCTCTCTAAGATTTGAGTGAGCCTTTTGAGTTCTTAAAACCGATACCTATTAAAAGGGTTGTGAGCTCACAGAATTTATCACCACCTGCTGTGGACAATGTTGCATTCATTCCCCCCTGCCAGGCAGGTCTGGCCTTGCTTGGTTTCAGTGAAGACTCCATACATACGGCAGCCAAGCCACTCGCCCAGCAGCTGCAGACACAGGCTGAGCACGGTGCGCTCCTGGGCTTCAGTGAGGAGGCTGGGCTGTCGCACGCAGTGCCATCTCTAAGCACACAGTCTACCAGGCACTGTGCTCGCAGTTCTAACGAGAAACATGATGAGGCATTGCTGTCCACTTCTGTAGGTGAGGAAGGCCGGAGAGATGGGCAACTTGCCCGAGTCTCACAGCACTTGCCAGAGGCAGAGCCATGTTTCAGACAGGTGGAGTTGGTTGTAAAGCCTGTGCTTTGGGCGTCTGCTCCTCCTGCGATGCCAGTTTAAGAGCAAGAGCATGGACTCTGGATTTGAATCTAGACTCTGCCGCTTACTCGCTGTGAGACACTGGCAAGGCACTTAGCCACTCCCTTCGTTCGCTTGTTCATCTGTAACTTGGGGGTAATTACATGCTCAAATCATAGGGTTTCAAGGATTAGATGAATCAATGAATGTGAAGCATTATATGTGCTAGCCATTGTTATTAACTTATGTATCGAGTCCTATTTTCTTCTGTGGGTGATGGATTCTCAGAAGTTTCAGGGTTTCTCCAATCCCCCCACCCCTGGATTGTGTTTATAAGATGCTTATCTAGATAATCCATAGAAAGTGCTTAGAGTGGGGTCTGGCGTATGATTTACCCCCAGTAAATGTTAGCGATGATTAATTAGTATGACCCTGGGGGTGGGGAGAGAGCATCTGCCCCTTAGTCTGCATCATCTCCTTGGTGTGGTGTCTAGATGCCCATCTCCTGGGTCAGACAGAACGAGGAGACAACCATTAGTTTGTATTCATCAAGTCGCTGTTATTTTAATGCCTAACAATGAATTTAAAAGGTAGAGGAGATGAAAGTATGATTCATTAAGTTCTTGGTCAAGGCACAAAGAGATTAGCACTTGGAACTCTTACAGGAATAAATTGTCTCAGAGAAGCTTGGTGGCATGCCGTCATTTGAGTGAACTGTCACTTTTCGACCACTGCCACCCCTGCTCGGTGTGATCACATGTTCTTCTCTCTCCCTTCCCCCTGGGTGACTGTACTTTCCACTTCTCTTCTAGCTTAAGAGTTGGACAGTGGAGGACCTTCGGAAGAGGCTCTTGGCCCTCGACCCCATGATGGAGCAGGAGATTGAAGAGATCCGGCAGAAGTACCAGTCCAAGCGGCAGCCCATCTTGGATGCCATTGAGGCGAAGAAGCGGCGGCAGCAGAACTTCTGAGCCAGGCCAGCGGAAGGGCCCACTCCCACACGGCCCTCGGTGAGCTCGGCTCGCTCGCTGCTCAGGCGTGTTAGCCACCACTCTGCCGTTGCTTCTCCACGCACCTTTGTGAACTCAGGAACGTGCGCCAGAGGGAAGGGCTGTCTCGCTGGTTAGCGAGCGAGATGTCTTGGTGTGTGTGAGTGTCTCAGTCGGTCAGGTTTATTATCTCAAAGGACTTATATGGGCACTTTTAAACTCAGAGTTTCAAACCCCAGGAACAGAGACGCCTAGTCCAATGGTAGCTGGGAAAGTTTTACATTGTCTTTTGTTTTTCTTCTCCCAATAGCTTTCAACTGTTCTCTCTGGAAGACTTTTTAAAAACTATAAATATGCATATATGTGTAAATTGTAACTAGATTCCCCACTCAGTGTGGTGGCATCTCTGTACAGGTACAGTTCTAAGCAGTTTGCCTCTTTTCTGTGAGATTATGGTACTGTGGAACAGAGGGCAGGCACCCTGGGGCCATGGGGCCACTCCACTCCCAGGAGCCAACCTCACCCTTTTGCAGGGCTGCTTATTTAAAAATTAGGTCCGGGCCAGTTTTCACCACATTTCAGCCTTGCGTGGGTCATCCCTAGCTCCCGGAGCTGCTGGTGGCGCTCAAGGGAAAGCCTTGAGAGTCCTGTTTACTTTAAGTCCCAGGAGAAGCCTGGCGCCTTCTCTGCAAATTGGCCTTTGTGGTTTCAGCGCCTTTTATCCACCTCCACTCTCCCGACTGCCTGAGTCACAGCACAGATCCTGCCCAGTGCCTTAAGAGGAGACATGACCCAGTGAGGGGACAGGCCTGCTAGGATCTCCCGGCAAACACGGGGCTATGATCAGTCCACAACAGGGAAAGGGCTTTGAAGTTCTCATTGTTCATGTGAAGGTCACACGTGTGGCATTTTGCACTGCATTCCTTACAGACGGGTAGCGGGCATTGATTTTGTGATCCACATTCAAATATGTGACTTTTTTATTTTACTGCTAAGGGGTCTGGAAGGGATAGTGAATGTCAGACTAAGATTTGTTCTCCAGGAGGCTCAACACAGACACGTGGAAGCCAGAGCTGGAAGGGACCCTAGCTGTCATCTGGTGTGGCTGAGGCTTGGAGAGGGCAAGCAGCATGACCAAAATCACAAAGCAGGTGGAAGTGGGAGCTGGGACTACACCTCGGGCTGCTCCCTCCCCCATTCACTGAACCGAGCAGCCCCTTCTCCAAGGGAAGAGACCTGTGTCACGTTTGGTTAAGTTACTCCAGGCAAGCCTGCTAATGGGAACTTGCTCTTGCTTTGTCCCTTCAATGGGTGAGGCTATGAAGAGATTCCCAGGGGAGCCAGATCTTGTGCCAGCCACTCCATGGCCTCTGCACCATCTGCCGGATAGCAGACAGGCCTCGTGCAGGCAGATTTAAGGCCAAAAGCAGAGCAGAAGGCTCGAAGAAGACAGCACTGAGCCCTTCTGCAGCGTTGGCTCGGGGCCACCTGTCACTTAGTCACACGGCAAAGAGGAGACAGTTGGGAAGGGCAAATGTGTTTTTATTTTCAAATATCTCTTCCTCTCAGATAGGGGGCTGTGCCAGGGTTGCACCTAAGGACACTGAAATTTGACCCCAGAATTGTTTTTGCTTCCCAAACCTGGGAATCAATGGGAAGGCAGGGAATGTTCCTCTTCTGTGGCCAGATTCTGTTCTTTGCAATTAAAGCAAGTTTTAAAAAATGCAAGAGGCAGTTGTTCTGCAGGGCTTGGCCAGTTAAGCAGCTGTGTGGCAGAGACAGAGAACAGAGGACAATTTGAGGGTCTCCCTGGAATTATAAATGGCAGCTAGCATTCGCTGACCACATGATGTGCCAGGCACATTGCTCAGTAGACTCTTTCTGTCAGCTCCAAATTTCACAATAACTCTGTGAGTTAAGGACTTTATCTCCATTTCATAGACAAAGAAACGGGTTCGGAGAAGGCAGTACCGCTAGTAAGTGATAGAACCAGGATTCGTAACATCACTGTATGGGACCAGCATTTACAGGGGAAAGTCTCTTTTTAATGAAGGGACCACCTTTTCTCACTCAGACTAAATAACTCTTAACGGGCATTTTTAAGCTTGGAAGCAGCTGAATTAGTAGTCAAGTCTGACAGCCAAGTGAGTTTTAAAAACCATATCATGGAGCAGGCACTCCCCCACACCAGCTGCTGTGCTAATTAGCAGTCCGGCCTCGGCCTCTTGCTTTTTTAAAAAGGACTTTGCACTTGGCCAGACAGGAGGGCAATGCCCTTTTCCTGTCTTCCTAAGCTAGAGCTAAGTAAAACAAGTTTCAGTTTTTCCCCATAAATATTCTTGAATCTTGATCTGGAGTTTATTTTGTTTCAAGCATGTGTGCACCCAACATGCTGGTCCAACAAAGTGCATTGCTCTTCAGTCTAGCTGGACATAGTCTTCTGCCAGAAATCAATTTCTTTTGGATCAGATAAACTTCCTGACCAGTTGTATTTGTTTTCTAGTGACAGGAAGGCAGAGGAGCAAATCCTAGTCATGTTTTGCCTTGAATACTAATGGAGCCCTGAGTGGCAGTCATTGCTCAAGCACTTGTGACTCAAGCTTCCAGGGAACTCGTAGCCCCTTGTTCTCTCCTTCTAAGAAACGATGACCCACACCTAATAGTGTCTTTAAAAAATCTCGAATTCTCTAAGAATATCTTTATTGCTTCCTCATCAATAATTTTTAAGCAAATTTCTATTTTTCCTTCTCCATTATTCCTTCTCCCAACCATTCGGTTGATGGATGAGTGTTTGGGTGGGTGGATGGATGGATGGATGGATGATTGATAGACAGACAGACCAACTGACGCAATACTCTGAAGCAACTTAAGAACTGTAACCTTAACTTCTTGAGACTACAGATTCTGATCCAGGTAATGTTTATTTAGCACCTAGCAGGTGCCAGAAATTTATTATACCATTTAAAACTCAGTAGCTCTTAGCAACATCAGGAATGAGAGAGGTCTTTATTGATCCGACAGGCTAATATTATGAACAACTTTATGAACAATTTTATGCTAATAAATTCAACAACTTAAGTGAAATAGACTAATTGAAAGTAAAAAGTACTAAACTCACTCAAGAAGAAATAGATAAGCTGAATAGTCCTATATTAAAACATAATAGCTCTGGGAGATCTAGGTATTTAAAACATAATAGCTCTGGAAGATACAGGTATATTGTCCTCCTTTACAGATAAGGAAGCAGGCTCACAGAGATGAAGTCTGTTGCTCAAGGTTACATAGCTAGAATTTGGCAGAGCCAGGATTCAAATTCAGTTCTGATTCTTATTCCAGTGCCCTTTCCAGCATACCATGTTGCCTCTAAAGATTGCAGCTCCTTATTTACTATAAAACTGTTTCTGTCCACTCCACACCCTCTCACCCCATCCTTTCTTAAGCACTGTGTTTGTGTTTTCATCAGGATTATATTCATTGTCTTTGGAATCCATGTTCTTATTTGTGTTTGGGGGGGGGGAAATTCTTCCACCAGCTTGTACGCAGATCAACTTGGAAAAAAATGCATAAATGCTGTTGCAGATGTACAACTTAAAAAAAAATGTGAAGTTTGTAGCTTTAACTTTTTGTAACAAGAACTAATAACACTGGCTTTAGTGTTGACTTGAAATGCTGTTTTATAAGGTTTGGATGTAAATAATCAGTCAAAGTCAGTAGTTTGTATATGTATGAGACATAGCTTCCTTCTTCACCTTGTTTTTAATTTGAGATGCTTCCTATGTGCTCTTATGTTGGAATTGTCTTCCCTCCTTCCTTCTTCCTATACCTTTGTTTTAAATAAAGGCTGTCCTTTTTCTAAATATGAGATCCTCCATCTATAGCCCGGATAATGGTGTTGTGAACCTTCATAACATTGACTTTGTATTGTGTTTATTCTAGAATCCAAAGCCAGGGGAGAGGGAGTAAACTTTTGTTGAATACCTACTGTGTGCCAGATCCTGAGCTAGTTAACTGTCAGGGGTATAAAAATGAACCAGACACAGTTCTTGCAGACCAGCTGAAGAGTCGGTCAAACACACAAGAACCACATTGGAAATGCCGTGGCAGAAGGAAGTACACAGCCTGTGGACACATGAGGAGGGATGATCAGTTCTGCTGAAGTGTCCGAGGAAGCTTTTCTGGAGAAGGTAATTCATCCTGAATTTACAGGATGAGGAAGTGATGGCCAAGTGGAGAAAGGGGGGGAAGAGAAGGCATCTTGGGTGGAAAGACCAGCCTATACAAATAGTCTGGTGTGAGAAAATTGTTTATAAAACCTGATGTTAAACCAAACTTCAGTTACATTTAAACACAAAGTCAGTCCTCACTTAACATTGTCAATAGGTTCTATAACTTTAAATGAAATGATGCATAACTAAACCAATTTTACCACAGGCTAATTGATGTAAATTAGAGTTAGGTTCCTATGGCATCTCATCAATGTCACAGCAAAGCCACTTGGAACGAAACGTTATTTTCCTACAGGTCCTAATCCTCTGCTGTCTGTCCTGGTGGGGCTGTTGGTGACAGATCTTCCATTCTTTCCCCCAGCCACGTGATGGACATGCGACCCAAACCAGTCCAGTTAGACTCAGTCTTCAGGGAATTGCTATTTTGAGCAGAGTGATACATAAAATGGAGGCAGTTGTCCCTAAGGTGATTTAATTACAGCGCCCTAAGAGGTGGTTCATGGGTCCTAAATACCATGGTCCCCACATCGCCCTTGTTCTACCTTTCTCAGAGCCCGGTTGTTTAATCTTAGCCAGTAGCTATCCCATGCACTCATTTTTTGCTTAAGTTTTCCAGAGCTGGCTTCTGTTGTTTGTAACTAACGACTCCTGACTGATACAGAAATCAGAACAGGCAACATGTCCTCCAGGGAATGTGGGTGTTGAAAATCACTGGGCTGTCATGAGGCAAGATACTCGAGGTTCTGCTCATGCTCTGGTCCAGGCACCAGCAGACCATGGGGCACAATGGTCAAGGGCAACTTCCTGTGTTTCTTGATATGGTCTGACCACCAGGAGGTGACTCTTCCAGAAGGGGGAGCTTTTGTCACAGTCCAATCTAAGGAGGGAGGAATGTCCAGGCTGTGGGGTCGAATGTTTATTTCTAATTGCACAGAATGATGTAAAGGGACAGTCAGCAAAAGCCAGCCCAGAGTAATGTGAGCACAGAATGAACCGGAGAGCACTTCCATGTCGTGGTGAAAGGATCTCATGACTCGGCAGTGGGGCTGAGATCTCCAAAACCAAAGTTGGCAATGCACTGCAGGTTGCCAAGGGCACAGCCCTGCTGCACTTCAGTGAAGTGGGGCAGCGACAGGAAGCGTGGGAGAGTGACAAGTGGAATGGCTCTATGAGAGGACATGGGAGAAATCCAAGGCAATCCAAAACACTGGGTGGAAGCAGTCCCCACCCTTCCCTACTGGAGAAAGCTCCCAAGTGCCTGCTTGCCCCACCCCTCAAGGCTGCCTAACTGGCAGGTGGGAATCAGTTCTGGCCTAGACGGTGAAAAATAGACTCTGAGTGAGTAGGAAAGAATCTTGGAGCCATACAGAAGTACAGAAACTTGTTAATTGATACCATCAGAAATGTGGGGAATATTCGTGGGAATGGATTTTTGTGGTGCTTGAAGAAGGAAGGGGGAAAGGTAATGTTGGACCAGGCTGATTTCTTGACATGCAGCACGTACCAGGGGTTCTGCATTCTCCGCGCTCAGGCCAGGAGCTGGCTGGGTTCTAACAACTGATGGGTTGGCCAGTGAAAACTTGGACCAATCGCTGGCCCACATGAAATGGAATTTAAAGGCCCCAAATTCCTTGGCATCATAGAAGAAAGGATTCAAATATTTCTGAAGCTGGGAGGCTGGACTGGATCTGATTTGTGCCTCCTTCCTGCAAATACCTCTAACTATGGCCCTCAGTGAACCCAGAACACTTGACCCTTGCTTTGAGGATAGTCTAGGTCAAGAGTACTGGGTGGAGGGGCTCCCAGATATCAGAGGGGAGGGAGTGCAGAGGTGTGGAAGGGCAGGTGTTGGTATCTGACCCTCAGAAATTAAGTGGGAATGGTCATTGTAGTATTCAGCAGGCTCTGAATGAGGCATATCAGTCTAGAGGACTCTAAAAAATTTAATCAGAACTGACACTCAACTCTTACTTGATGGTATAACCAACAAAACTGGTCATTGTAGTATTCAGCAGGCTCTGAATGAGGCATGATATCAGGCTAGGGGACTCTAAAAAATTTAATCAGAACTAACACTCAACTCTTACTTGATGGTATAACCAACAAAATGTAAGAAACAAAACAAAACCAAAAAAAATAGTCTCTAAAGCAAAAACAAACACCCTGACTTAAGCCACCATGACTGGTGCAGAGCATCACCTAATACCTAATTCCAAGAGTTTGGTTATTGATCTAAAGCCCTTTGAATGGAACATATGCTATTTGCCCTTGAGGAAGGACTGCTGTACTGCTGCTATGCGGATGTATGTGAACATTTTCTGCCTTCTCCAAAAGGGCCTGTGGCCATTGACCAGGTGCTGAAGAAAGGCAAATACTAAAATCTTTCAGGGAACCTTGGATGAAGACTTGGAGCTAATATGTTAATACCAATTTCTTGGGCTGAGGAGTACTACTCTAGGTCCACAATCATGTGAAAAATAATGTTTTGACCTTTTTCCATGTCACTGGAGGTCTAGCGGGATCCCAAAGCTGTCCTCTATCTCCAGTTTCTGAGGGATAGTTTGAAAAGATCCCCACTTGGCTCCCTGGCCCATGGAGGCCAGTAGAATCCAATTGAGCCACTGTCCCAGAATAGAAACTCAACGGTGGTACCACATCTCTGAGGAGGCTGCAGAGATCCGGGCCCCCACCAGAGAACCTGGAGAGTGATGACTCCTATCAAAACAGTTTCCCCCGTTTGACCAGCGCAAGATGGGCTGGGTCTTGGAAACTGAGAGGGGGGTATTTTAATCAAGAGGCAATTCCAATTTTAGCTGCTGTATTAGATATGTGCTCCATATTATAGCCCCTGGAGCTATAGGCATCTCTTGGTTTAATTCTCTCTTCCAAGAAACAGAAACCACTGGAAGCCTTTTGCTGGAATGGATAACAGTTTTCCTTTACTGTTCACTCAGGGACACCCGAGTTCTCTCCCAGCTCTGTATCAGAAAGACTCATTCCCTGATTCTACTACAAGACATCAAACTGATCCACCACATTGATTAAATCACATTAATAGGGCCTGGAGAGCCAAGATCGTTTCCTTATGTTAGAAACATTTATAAAACAAGAGTTGGGAGGTAGTGGAAATCCACTATTTTTGCCTGTTAACATCTCGCCCCTTTATTTTGGTGACACCACATGGCCTTTTCTTGGGTAACTACCTTTCTTCCATCCTACCTGATCTGTTGTAGATGTTAATCCAGGTACCCTGCCCTCCATCCCCACCAAGGGAGAGGCTATGATATGATGCAAGCTCAGCAAATCAACCTCCTGGGACGGGGACTGTGAGCAGAATGATCCAGGGCAAGAAGGTGATTGGAGGAGGGTCATTTGGATGACAGTGTCCTAAACAGAAGGTTCATGAGTCCTGTACTTCAGTCCCTAGAGCTCCCCTCATTCCTGTATTTCCTGAGGCGTGGTCAGTCAGCCTTTCCTTTGATTGGGTGAGCTTCACCAATCCTCTTCTATAGTAGGCTGAACGGTGGTCCCAAAGTTACGTCCACACTGTAATCTCTGGAACCCGTCTATGTTACCATACTTGGGAAAAGGGTCTTTTGGCAGAAATGATTAAAGTAAGGATCTCCAGATGAGAACATCTTGTATTATCCAAGTGGGCCCTAAATACCATCACAGGTGTCCTTATGAGAGAGGGGCACTGGGAGATTTGACACACACAGGCTGTGATGACAAAGGCAGCGTTTGGAGTGATGCAGCCACAAGTCAAGCAATGCCAGCAGCACCAGAAGCTGGAAGAGGCAAGGAGAGAATTCTCCCGTAGAGCCTCCGGAGACAGTGTGGCCCTGCTGACACCTTGATTTTTGGATTTCTGGCCTGCAAAATGGTGAAAGAATAATTCTGTTGTTTTAAGCCATCAAATTTGTGGTAATTTGTTATGCAGCCACAGGAAATGAATACATCTTCCAATAAATTCATTTTTTCCCTTAAGGTTTCTGTTGCTTGTGTCCAAAGAACTCTAGTTGTAACCGTTGTTCATCACTTCAATGATTGAAGCTAGTGAATTACCCTCTTTGACCAAGTTAGTTCCAGCTGGATTCTTGTCACTTGCAACCTGTTCCCAATGTAAGATTGGAACCAGAGATGGGGATTCTGAGTCACTCCATGTTACTCCACCCTCCCAATCACCCAGAAAGCATGCCAGGCAGCCAGCTCCATACCGGCACAAACAGGTCCCTGGGCCCAGCCTCTTTATTTGCATAATGGCTACATTGATACATGGGAGTGGGAAGGAGTTGTTGCTTTTCTGCCAGGACCACACACAACCTTGTGATAGACTCAGGCCAGACGATTCTCTCCCGAGCTTTCCCCACACCGGCTTTAGGGACTTGTCTGTGGGGTCAGAAAGTTGGAAGCGAGTGGCTCCTCGCTGTGTTCAGCAAGACCATGAGGGTGGTTGCATGCAGCCCACCTGTCTCTGTGCCTTGACCTGGGCAGAGCTGGGCCTAGATGTCACCAGGTGAGCACGCGGGAGGGCCAGTGGTGTGTGTGGGGTCAATTCATGAGCGGCCGGCCCCTTGGCTCAGTTCGTCTCTGCTCCAATCTGGAGACTGAAACCATCTACGTCTGAAAGCCTATGTACCAGGCCCTGTGTATGATATGAGGCCTTCACACATGCTGTTCCCTCTTGGAATACACTGCTTTCCTGGAAAACATTCCCCCCCCCCCCCAGCTAATTTCTATTGATTCATATGTTAAACTGTCCACTTGCTCACGAAAGTCTTCTCTGACCTTCTTGGTCAATGGTCCCTGCTATATTATATACCCTTATAGTTCTTGTATTTAGTAGAGCTTATTATTATTTATTCATGTGATTATTGGATTAAAATCTGTCTCCCCACTAGTCTGTAAGCTTCAAGACACAGGGATATATATTTTGCTTGGCATTCTATCTGTTGAATCTGGTAAGACATCAATAAATCACAGCCCACGTGGGTAAAGTAAATCTAAGTGGTGGGGCTAACACAGGAGCGCCTGTGTGTGGGGGCGGGGGGTGCGATGGGGAACCGGAGAGTGCATGCCTCACCCAAGGGCATTCACATTTTTAAAATACACTAAAAATATTGTTCAGCTAAATGAAACCTGTCTGCAGGCCACATGTGAAGCCCCAACTTACGACCTTTCCAGTGGATATTTGTTGAATGAGCGAGTGAAGCATCTACAAGGAAATCATTGTAAAAGCCTCAAAAAAGCAAGGAGGGAGAGGGGACAGAACTGAAAGGACCTCCTTGACAGGCTTGTCTACACCCTCTAGAGGGCAAGGTCTCCCTCGGGCTCTTTCTTTCCTCTTCCTCCCCAGTGCTTGGCACACAGTAGCTGTACAAATTGGTTGATCCATTCAGCATTTACTAAATACCTACTGTGCACCAAGTCCAGGTTCAATCGGACAGTGTCCCCCATCTTGAAGCTCAGTGTGGTGGGACAGACAGAGCCACAGCCAGACAATGACGGTACAGTGATGGATGTTCTAGCAACAGTGTGGGAAAGGGCTAGGGGACCCTTGCCTCCCAACTTCTTTAGCAAGTAGAGAGGATGCAGTAGGTGCGTATACAGATATGCCCTCAGCAAGAATGAGGGGCTGGAGCTGGCCAAAAGGGCAGGAGCCTCAAGCACTGGCCTGGCTGGTAACTCAAGATATGGCTGGAGGTCTGCAGGGTAGGCAGATAGGAACTGCTGTGGTCAGATTGGGGGGATCCAACGTGGGGGACCAGTTGTCCATTCATGGCAGCTCCTGGCCACCAACATTTCTGAGTCAGGCTGGCTGGAAATCAGTACCTCCCTGTTCCATTGGCTTTCATCTCCCTCTAGGCCAGCGGTTCTCAACCTGTGGGTCGCGACCCCTTTGGCGGTCGAATGACCCTTTCACAGGGGTCGCCTAAGACCATCCTGCATATCAGATATTTACATTACAATTCATAACAGTAGCAACATTACAGTTATGAAGTAGCAACGAAAATAATTTTATGGTTGGGTCACAAAATGAGGAACTGTATTTAAAGAGCCAGAAGGTTGAGAATCACTGCTCTAGGCCCAGTGATTCTCAGCAAGAGCCAGAAGGTTGAGAATCACTGCTCTAGGCCCAGACTGTGACCATTTCACAGATGGGCTGAAACCTGGAGATGGGGCAGGGACTTGCCCACTTCACAAATCAGGTTCCAGTAGGACTAGATCTAGACTTCAGGCCTCAGGCCAGGGCCCCTTTTCTGTATCTCAAGCCAGCCCGGGGAGGAAGCTACAGGTATTGCTTCGCAAATCTTGCACATCATCTAAGGAGGCAGCTCCCTCTTCCTCTCAGGCCTCATCTTAGGGAGCTGAGTCCTTTTGGAAGCTCCTGGAAAAGAACCACGAGTGAGGTCCAGGGCTCCTACATCTGAATCCCGTCTCATCCTTTCCCTAGCTCTGACAGAGAAATCTAAGTAGATCAACCCTAAGGGCCCATAAACTTACTAAAACCCTACACAAGCTTCGTGAGGGAAGACAGAGTGGAAGAAACACTATTGGCAGACCAACAAGCATGGATTCCAAACTTGACCCAACCACTTCTAGTTGCATGCCATCTGAGCAAGTCATTGCACCTCTCTGAGCCTTAGTTTCCTCATCTGTGAAATGGGGTTGATTCTCATCCTCCAACATAGGGCCATATGTGATCTAGCTAAGAGCAGGTGGCAAGGAATTGTTAGCATCCTTTCGACTCTCCCTCTGGCTCATGCTGCTTCCCAGATGGCTTGGAGGTTTGTTTATAAAGGTCTCTGGGTCGCTCTTCAAGCTCACATAATCTAGGGTAACACTGTCCTTCCCTGAGCCTTTGGAGGAAGGGACCCAGCTTCTGGGTGTCGATTCTCAGGCCAGGGAGTGACCCTGAGCGGTCAGGCCACCACGAAGAACTTCAGCAGGGGACGGGTCTCTGCTCTGTTGTAGCTGAGTGTAGGGTGTGGGAAGGGAAACATGGAGCCCTGGTTTTAATAAATCTTAGAGTTTGGAGGCTCACTGGGGGCCTGGGTCCCCAGGTCTGCAGACCTTCCCTCCTGGGAGGTCTCTCGGGATGTTTCCAGAGACCCCTCCGACACCCCATCAACACTGCTCAGCAAGTCTTCAAACTCCTGGTGGCCACTGTTGCGCACTGCGGCTTCCAGAGCCTTCTGGCGCCGGTAGAAGTGAGAGAACTTATTGAAGATGATGGTGATGGGGAGCGCTACCACCAGGATGCCCCCTAGGATGCAGCCCGAGGCTGCCAGCTTGCCGGCCACCGTCACTGGCACCACATCCCCATAGCCCACGGTGGTCATGCTCACTGTGCCCCACCACCAGCAGGCTGGGATGGTGTCAAAGCCCACGTCCTCCTCCTTCTCAGCTGTGTAGGCCACACCGGAGAACACTGACACACCCACGGCCAGGTACAGCAGTAAGATGCCCACCTCACGGTAGCTGTGCTGGAAGAAAAGTAGGAAGCCGAGTCAGAGCTGGGTGGGCTTACAGACCTGGCATTGGGCATATGGGGAAACTGAGGCCCGGAGAGTAGAAGGGACAGATCCATAATCACAGCGCAAGGTAGAGCTGGTGCCAGGACCTAGGTCCCTGACTCCAAACTAAGGTCTTTCAACTACAATAATCAGCCATACTCCCCAGGACTGAACACAGGCCTGATTTCCATTGTCCAAGGTGCCTGCTGAGCCACATTTGTTTCTTCTAATGTGGGCAGCACTAGTGGCACCAGCCAGTGAATGAAAAGCCTGTGATTTTTCTACTGTTGCAGAATCAAGAGAGAGCCATAGTTTATATCCCACAATGCAAAGGGTTGGTTTCGTGTACTTTTGACTGGTGGATCTCATTTCTGATTAAGTACAAAAATATTTTCTGCCTCTCAAGGAAGCTGAGACGATATATACGTTTCCTAGACCCCTCACAGAATGCACTTGCCTACGGGTGTGTATATCTGCTCTGCCCCTGAGGCCAAGCCCTAGGGCAGTGTTTCTCAACCAGGGCAGTTCTGCCACCCCAGGCGTATTTGGCAATATCTGGAGACATTTTTGACAGTCACAACTGAGACGTGTGCTACCAGTATCTAGTGGGTAAGAGGCCAAGGATGCCGCTAAACATCCTACAATGCACAGGACGGCCCCCCACAACAAAGAATTATCTGGCCCCAAATGTTAATAGAGGCTGAGAACCCCTAGTCTAGAGCAGGGCTTCCAAACTGTTTAAAAGGCAGAACCCAGCCCTAACCGGTTTGGCTCAGTGGATAGCGCGTTGGCCTGTGGACTGAAAGGTTCAAGGTTTGATTCCGGTCAAGGGAATGTACCTTGGTTGCGGGCACATCCCCAGTAGGGGGTGTGCAGGAGGCAGCTGATCAATGTTTCTAACTCTCTATCCCTCTCCCTTCCTCTCTGTAAAAAAATCAATAAAAATATATTTTAAAAAAATAAAAATAAATAAAAGGCAGAACCCAATTGAGGAGGTCTGGCATAGGGCCAGGGATTCTGCAATTCTAGCAAGCTTCCAGCTAATGAGAAAGCTGCTGGTGGTCAGGGGCCTCACTTTGAGTAGCAAGGCTCTCGTCTGGAGTCTCACAGCTGTGTCTTGGACCCTGGAAGCCTCCATCAATACTCTTCTCCCTCCTTGCAGAAAGAGCTGGTAGCATTGGGCCCTGGCCTTCTGCATGGTGAAGGCAAGGCAGAGTTCTGCAATGGAGGGGTCATCTCTGGAGAGGTGCTGAGTTCAGGGTGTCTAGCTAACGGAATTCTCTGTATCTGTCCATTGCCCCAGCATTCTGCCCAGGTCATCCTGCCTGCACCCAGCATGCTGGCTGCCCTGCCATGGGGGCATACAAAAGGTTTTACTAAGCTGTGGGTGGAAGGGATCAATCAGCATCTTCTAGGGATCTTTAGCAGGGTTACAGGGGGATTTAGGAGAAAGAACGTGAGGTACTGGAGTCAGGCACAGCTGGGTTCTTCTCTAGGCTCTGCCACTCACGGAGGAACCTCTGACAAGTCCTGTCACCTCTTAGAGCGGTGATGGCGAACCTATGACACGCGAACTCATTTTTTTGGTTGATTTTTCTTTGTTAAATGGCATTTAAATATATAAAATAAATATCAAAAAATATAAGTCTTTGTTTTACTATGGTTGCAAATATCAAAAAATTTCTATATGTGACATGGCACCAGAATTAAGTTAGGGTTTTTCAAAATGCTGACACGCCGAGCTCAAAAGGTTCGCCATCACTGTCTTAAGAGCCTCGATTTCCACATCTGCAAAGTAGTGACAATAATACTTGCCCCTGCTTAAACCCCATTTCCCTTGGGATAAAGTCCAAAATCCTGAACCAAGAGTTCATGGCCCTTCAATACCCTCTTCAGCCTTACCAACTGGTACCCCTCCCTCCATGTCCCTCTCCCATCATTCATTCTGTTCTCTCTTCAGGCCTCTGTCCAAGCTGTTCCCGTGCCCGCCCTCCCCAAAGCAGGCTAATTTCACCCCCTTAAGGGTAAGCTTCCCAGGGCCTGGCTCAAGGACGGTGCTCAATTAATTGCAGCCAGGCTTTAAAAAGCCAACCTCAGGTTTGTCATCTACGGGAAGGGAATAAATAAGAGCATCTTTCAGAGGAAGTCATCCTGAGGATGAAATCGATAATGGATGTGAAAATGGCACAGAATTAGCACTCAGTATGAGCTCTGGGGCTGTACTAGGCTTGTCGACTAAGCAAGACCTATGATATCTGTGGCCCCTGATAACCTCAGAAGAACGGCTCAGTGCAGAAGCCAGTTAGCATCCTGCTTTGCATATTTTTGTGCTACGTACTATTTGATATTTGACAAGACAGATCAAAAGTGACCTTTTTGTTTTATTTTTACTTTTTGAAACGGAAGACCATCACAGCCCTGCGTCAGTTTTCTCCCATGGGACAGAGATCACCGGAAAGCTGGGAAGGTCAAACTGGACGTGAAATGTACGCCTGTTATCTGGCCCTGTGCCTGGTATAAAGGATGTGCTTCCGTTCACCGTGCGCCTGGACACAGCAGGCTGGTTAAGTGCATCTGCTAACCTGACCCGTGGCTACACCTGCCTCCCACTAAGGCCCCTACCCGGCCTCAGAGGCCCTACCTTGAGTGTGGCGCCCAGTGAGCGCAGCCCGGTGGAGTGGCGCGCCAACTTGAGCACGCGGAAGATGCGCATGAGGCGGAACACCTGCACCACCTTGCCCAGGTCACCGAGATCCTCGCCGCCCGCACCTCCCTGGTCGCCGAGCGCCGCACCAGCCATCAGCGTGAGATAGAAAGGCAGCACGGACACGATGTCGATGAGGTTGAGCGGGTGGCAGAAGAAGTTACGCGGGCTGGGCGCCAGCAGGAGGCGCGAGGACACCTCGAAGCTGAACCAGGCGATGCAGAAGTACTCCAGGCGCCTCAGCACCGGGTCGTCCCGCACGT